CAGGGGGCTGCCCGCCCCCCCCCGCCCCAGGCAGGAAAGCAACACGGCTTAGCAGTGAGTCAAGGTGGCAGAGGTGCCCGCCTGGCTGCTGTTTGGGGAGAGCCTGCATCTCTGTGAAAGGAGAAAGCTCAGAGGGCACAGGATGGGACTGCCGCCGCCGCCACCACCACCGGGGCCCGGTGCTGCGGGAGCAGGGGGCACAGGGCAGAGCAGTGGACAGAGGCAGCAGGGAGATTACCTGTGGGCATTGCTGCTGGCCTGGCAGCCGAGGGACAGCAGAGAGAAAAGGACAGAAGAGGAGGTTAGGACAAATCCTGGAACCACATGGGTGGGGCTGGCCTCTGAGGGCCTGGGTGGGGCTCCAGCTGAACAGGAACCCGAACCCTAAGCCTAACCCTAAGCCTAAGCCTACTGCTCCCCCTGCTCTCACTCCAGCTAACACCTTGTGCATGCAGACCCCGTCCTGAGCGGCCCTCTCCATTTTATGGACGAGGAGACGGAGGGCCAGGCAGTTCAAAAGACAGCAAGTGGCAAAGCCAAGCCATGACCAGGCATTTGGTCTCTAACCACCACACCAACTACTTATTCCGGGACCTGGTAGCAGGCGGCAACCTTACTGTCTTTGGTGTGAAATGTGGCTCTAAATCAGAAGGACAGCTGTTTCCTGGCTGGGCAGGGCGGCTCTGGGGACCTACCCACCCGGGCCCCGTCCGCAGTCCTGATCTAAACGGTCAAGTGCTCACGCTCCGGAGATGAGGAGTCTGGGACCCAGCAAGCAAAGACGGGCCGAGGCCACACGTGAATTAACAGCAGACACGGGGAAGCAAACAGGCCTCCTGACACTGACAGAGAAGTGTGTCCCCCCAGGGGCAGGGCGAGGCGCGGGGTTCGGGCAGAGGCAGGGCCGGGCCTACCTGGAGGCGATCTTGGTGAAGTACTGGTAGGCGTTCTCTGGGGTCGGCTGCAGGTGCTGCAACATGGTGTGGAACTCCAAGTCGAAGCGCTGGTTGATGTCGTCCCCGATGATGGCGAGCTGCCGGCCCACCTGCCCCAAGGTGCTGGAGGCGGGAGGCAACAGGGGGCAAGGGACAGGTGTCAGGGCCGGGCCCAGGCTACCGGCTAGGCCTTCTGCCCGGGGTGCCCCAGCCTGCATCCCTCCCCGGAGGCCCCCACAGTGTTCTCAGATGTGAGGGCTGGGCTCGGCCCAGGGACAAGATGCCCCGGGGCGGGGGGGTGGGGGGGAGCCCAAGATGAATAAGGAGCCACAAAGAAAGAAGGGCAAGAGGCCCCCCACAGAGCCCCCCAGCTCCCAGGACCTCCATGGTGGCCCATGTGAGCACCCGCCTCCCTGAGGTGTCCCCGTGGGGCTCTGCTCACCTGTCAGGCTCTGGGGACAAGGTGACCATCTCTGGGTCAGGGGGGGCAGCCGCCTCAGCTTCCTGCTCCTGCTGATGGCGGTAATAAACGTAGCTGCGGAAAACCTCCTCTGTGTCCCGGGCCACCTGCTCCTCTGAGGATCAAAGCCGGGAGTCAGGGAGGAAGGCCGGATCGGGCAGCCCCAGCCTTGGGGATGGGTACTCTTCCTCAAGGTCACCGCTGTCCTCACCCCAGGCAGCAGGCTCCCCGCTGCAGCCCCGAGTCCACCCCCAGTGCTTACTGGGTGCGGGTTAGTCTCCCGGCACTTTCCACCTAGTCCGCACGCACGACAGCCTTGGGAGGTAGGCGGTCCCCACTTGCGGGCGGGAATGCGGCCTGAGGCCGGGAGGGTGGCACAAGGTCCCACAGCCAGAGTGCGCAGCGGGGCCAGGATAACCCGGGTATTTGGGCCCCGAGTTCCGTGTGACAAGTCCAGCCCTATGGCTTAGGGATCGTGGGGCCATACGTCAGACAGGGACATAGTGACAGACCTGGGCTGAGCCCAAAGTCCAGGGAACAGCCCGAGAGAGCTGCAGGCTTCCCAAGGTCCCCTGGGAAGAGGGAAGGGCAGCCATCTTACTTCCTCCCAAAGGTGAGATCGATTGTTTTCCCCGGGTGATAAGCCATCTACTTCCTCATTTCTCCTCCCACAGGGACAGGCCAGCCACACCTACTCTTCCTTCTTCTTGCCCATCCCACCCCTGGCACTGGGATGGCACCGCCCCTGGCACTGGAATGGCACTGTCCCAGGGCCCGCTCACTCCCCAGCCCCTCCCACCTCTGCAACCCAGGCCCGGCCCCTCCCAGCTCCAGGGCTTCCGGGGATCACTGGCCCAGCAGGCCACCTGCAATGGGTGGGGATCGTTTCTCCCTGTCCAAGGTGAGTTCCCTTCCTGGTCCCGTCCACGCCTGCCCTCTGCCCTCACCGCCGCCCTGGTGGTACAGGTGGGCAAGGGGCAGAAGGACCCTTACCCGAATTGGAGGCCGGGGCAGGCCCTTCACAGTCCTGCCTGGGAGGGCCCGGTCCTTGCCCAGATGCCATTGTTCAGGTCCCGGGGGAGAGCAGTGTCAGCCTGTGGGGATGGTGAGGAAAAGCAAAGATGGGGACAAGCAGGAGCCACAGACCAGAGGTTCCACAGCCACACAGGGGTCAAGTGGCCCCGACACCCCGACTCCCCAACCCCAGTCCGAGCTCCAGCCACTTGCATTTCACTGGCTACTCTTCAGGGAAGCCCAGGGGTGAGAAAAGCAAAGCAGCCAAGACCACATGCAGGGACCTGCCCCCGGCGTCCAGGGCCCTGGGAGGGTGGCCGCAGGAGGCCCTAGTGCTTCTCAAGTCAATTTCGGCTCCGTCCTGGAGCCCCGAACCTGCCCCGCACCTGCCCCGCACAGGGGCCCAGGGCCGCAGGGCCACTGCAGGCTCGCCACCTTCCAGCCAAGGACCCCGAAGGTCCCACTTGCCCTTGGCTGGTCAGAACACACCTGCCTTCCAGCTCAGACCTGTTGGCCACAAACACTTCTGAGCGCGATGGTGTACTTCTCCCAGCTGTGAACTCCCCCCGGGGGTGCCGGACACTGAAATGGCACATTCACCCCGCAAGGCAGGCATCGTCATACCCATTTCACAGGTGGCAGGTGAGGCCCGCGGAGGTGAGTGCCCACGGCCACAGAGCTAGCCAGGGAGTCAGGTTGGCCACCTGAATCTCCTCAAGCCCATATGTCAATACACTTAAGATTTACTTTCCGGGTTGTGGGTCTCAGAGGGTGTTCCTTCCGGGCATCTCTCCCTGGTCAGGCCTGGCCTGTGCCCTCCATTCCTGCCTTGCAGCCAGGCCTCCAGCACAGCCCCCCTGCCTTCCGCGGGCGCCCCCTCACCCCACGCTGCTCTCCTGCCCAGCCCAGTTTCCTCTGCCCAGCAGGGCCGCCTGATCTGCTATGAACCCTAGACAGAGGGAGTAGTTCCAGGACGTGAGCTGTTTCACTTTCAATTTGCACCCCTCCATTTCCCCGCACACCAAGCATTTCCCCACACCCCCCCGCCACCCTCCCTCCATCCCCGGGGAGGGTGAAGCCCCACCCTGGGCCAGGCAGAGCCGCCCTCCTCCCTGGGAGGCCCATGTACCCTCTGGCCTCCCTTCTCTCAGGCCTGGCCATTTTTGTCGGGCCTCCGCCTCTCTTTTCTCAGGGCCGGGCCGGGGAGAAGGCAGACCCTCCCTCCTCCATCCCCAGGTGCCTCTCAAAATAGGCCTTTGCCTAGCACCCCCACTTCCAGCTCCTCCTGGAAGAAGATGCCCTTGCCTCTCCCCTGGTCCCCCAACCCGGCAGCCCAGGACAGCAGGGCCAGAGGATGCTGCCTGCACCTGCACCTCCCGCTCCCTCCGCCCCAGAGCTCCCTGCTGGAGCCGGTGGAGCCGCAGCACAGCCCCAGGACCAGAGGCCTCTGCCGACCAGGGCCTACCCCTGCCCGTCCAAGAGGCATGACTTCCTGGTAAGGCGAGTCCCTGCACCCCATCTACCGGGTTCGCTGAGCCCAGGATGTCCCCCAGGGGAAGTGCCCGGCGGGGCTGCAGACCCAGTCTAGGGCTCCTGGGCAGCAGGAAGCGCCGTTAGAGTTCCCCCAGCCTTGACCTTGGCTCTGACCTCCACTCCGGCCGCCCAGGCTGCTAAAAGGCTCGGTCCTTCGCCCCGAGTCTCAGGCGCCCAGGGCCAGGGCATGAGGAGCAGCCAGAGGCAGCCCTGGCCGGATCAGGCCCCCGCGGGGGGTGTCGAAGCTGCCCGGCAAAGCCTCCCCTCCCCACCCCGCTCCCAGCGCTCTCCCTGCCCCACCCTGAGCCTGGTGCTGCCTCGATCGATCGGAGAGGATGGGCCGGACCCTCCGGCTTACCTACCCAGACCCCGGCCTAGGTCCGGGATGGCTCCGTGGGGCCGAGGCTGGAGGTCCCGAGCGGGTGCTCCAGGGTTCGCCGCCCAGGCCCGGCTTCCCGGAGCGGCTGTCAGTGAATCCGTGGTGTCCGATGCCGTCTCCGCGGGTCCCAGCCTCGGCACCAAGAGGCTCCGGGGAGCGAGCGTGGAGGAGCCGGCAGCTCCCGGCTCCAATCAGCTCGCTCTAGAGGAAGTCGCTCTGCAGCCGCCGGATGCGGATGTACTGCCTCCAGCCGGGGCGGTCTGCGCTCGCCCCTCAATCGGCAGCCCCCACCGCGGGTGGCTCCTCCCCCCGCTGCTTTTCCCACCCCTGACCCTTGATCTTTTCTCCCTCCCATCAGTCAATACCAATGGAAAAAATCAGGATGGTGATGTTTCTTTTGCACGTTAGCAAGTGAATCTTCTCACTGAATCTTCTCAACAACGCTTGGAAGTAGTGCCATCCGTGCACCCACTGTACAGATGAGCCAACTGAGGCTCAGCTGGTTTAAGGAGCTCTCCGGAAGTCACCGAGCTGCGCTATAATCGAGTCTGGAGGTGCCGGGGGAATAACAATACTAAATTGAGATTCAACGTGCAACTAGGTACCAGGCACCTCCGTGGTCTCTGGGACTAGAAACCCGAAGGGGACAGGCAGGTGAGCAGATGAAACCACAGTGAGGGACTTGCGCTTCCGCCGGGGACAACTGGGCACCGCAGTTATGAGTCGCTTCAAGTTTGGGGATATTGGTATAAACTTGACGGAGCCTCTGCTCAGAGGGATTTGGGGGGCAGGCTCCCAAAGCACACGATGACTTACCGGGTGTCATACAGGGTGTGGAGTGGGAGTTTATGATTCCAGTTGGAAAAGATGCACCGCATTTGGCACAAACAGATAAAATGTTGTTTTTTTAAAAGTAATGTTGGGCAGATCTCTGCTTTTCTTTTCTTAAAAAATATATATATATATTTTAATGATTTTTTACAGAGAGGAAGGGAAGGGGTAGAGAGTTAGAAACATTAATGAGAGAGAAACATCGATCAGCTGCCTCCTGCACACCCCCTACTGGGGATGTGCCCGCAACCAAGGTACATGCCCTTGACCAGAATCGAACCTGGGACCCTTGAGTCCGCAGGCTGATGCTCTATCCACTGAGCCAAACCGGTTAGGGCTAAAATGTTTTTCAATACAATTGGATGTCACCCTTCAAGATGTGATGAATTTGAAAAGAATAACCCCTATATTTACTTAATGGAGTCGCTAAATCTTGCTGAAAACAAGAGGGGAAAGTTGTAGCAAAAGGGGAATGTGGGCTCGATTTTGACCGACTACAGTTTTGTCCCAAAGATACTCAGCTCAAATATTTTGAAAAACAGTTTGAACTTCAGGACAAAATTACCAATGTTTCTTCACTGTTGAAACTCACATGCTGAATTTTTTAAAAATATATTTTTATTGATTTCAGAGAGGAAGGGAGAGAGAAATAGAAACATCAATGATGAGAGAGAATCATTGATCGGCTGCCTCCTGCACGCCCCCTACTGGGGATCGAGCCCACAACCGGGGTATGTGCCCTTGTCCAGAATCGAACCAGGGGGCTTTCAATCTGCAGGCCGACGCTCTATCCACTGAGCCAAACCAGCTCGGGCTGACTTTTTGCACGTAATAGAGCTAGCTGGGGGTGTGGGTGGAGCTCGCAGTCGTTTGATGGAACTGGCAGCACCGACTGTCCGCTGCGTGGGTCCCCATGGGACTCAGGGCTGCTCGCTGGACACTGAGCTCCTGGGGGAGTTCAGAAGTCAATACCTGATGAAAATCAATGATTGAGACGGATGCACCTTGGTGTGGAGTCAAAAGTACACAGGCTGGTTCAAAATATATAAAAACGTCATTTCCACCTGGCCGGGCATGGCTCCATGGTTGAGTGTTGACCTATGAACCAGGAGGTCAGGGTTCGATTCCCGTTCAGGGCACATGCCCGGGTTGCAGTCTCGATCTCCAGTGTGGGGGCATGCAGGAGGCAGCCAATCAATGATCCTCTCTCATCATTGATGTTCCTATTTCTCCTTTTCTTTCCTCTCTAAAATCAATAAAAATATATTAAAAACAAAACAACGCCCTGACTGGTTTGGCTCAGTGGATAGAGCGTCGGCCTATGGACTGAAGGGTTCCAGGTTCGATTCCGGTCAAGGGCATGTACCTTGGTTGCGGGCACATCCCCAGTAGGTGGTGTGCAGGAGGCAGCTGATCGATGTTAACTCTCCCTTCCTCTCTGTAAAAAATCAATAAAATATATTTTAAAATAAATAAATAAATAAAGATAAAAACAAAACAAAAAAATCCGTCATTTCCTACCAACAAATGGAAAATGGGCACTGTTTGAAGGACAGAAATGAGCTCTGCCACCTAATTCAAATACTGGAGGGTCCCCTGGAATTAGCAGTACCCTACAGAGCAATACCATTGAAGGACATGTAATCAGTATGTATTTTCCATCATGTATGTCAAGTTTCATGGTAAAACTTAATAAAAGTTTCAATAAAGGAATTCTCTGGGGGAAACAAAAGGGTCTGTGCGCCCACCTGGACCCAAGTGAACCAAGTACCTGGAGGGGAGAGAAGGGCGGGCCCTCTGGCCACAGCCAGGGAAAGACCAGCAGGTGCAGAGAGGGGGTGCCGAGTCCTCCAGACCCCTTGCCCCCTTCTCAGGGCCCGGGTTCCCCAAACCTCCTCTGCCCACCACCCACATGCTTCCTCACCAACCACCCGCAGGCTGGCTCCCCAGGCCTCCTCCCTGCCTCAGCACCCCCAGCCCTCTCTGTCCCCAGCTAATCCCCCCCCTCGTTCCCCCATCACTCCCCGCCTCCCGCCTGCCTGCCCTTTGCCTTCTAGAACTCCTGGAGCTTTTAATTTGAAAGCTCCTCCAGTTCTTAAGCAGTTGGTCCTGGGGGGCTGCTACGGCCCCTCCCTCCGAGTCAGGGTCCCTCTCAGGATGGCGAGCCCAGCTCCAACCCCTCGGTCTCGAAATTTGGACCGCTCCTCCATGCTCCGCTTCTTCCTGGTGGGGAGCACGGGCGGCCGGAAGAGCTCCGAGGGGACCCTGCTGGGAGATGAGGCGAGCCCTGGGTCCTTGATGATGGACCGCCAGGGGCGAGTGGGGAGGAAGGAGCCCAGGCGGCCGGCCCAGGGGCACCGCACCCCCTCTGAGGCCCTACCACAGCGTGATCCCTTGGGGCTGGGGGGCATGAGGGCCCAGACCACCCCCTCCATGAAGGTCTTGAGCCTCATGGCCCCAGGTGTAGAGGTAAAGTGGGTGCTGCCCAGAGGAAGCCAGGAGGTCCTGGGCAACCTGTCTGAGAAGGCGCAGAGGGAAGAGGAGGAGGAGGAGGCAGCAGGGGCCCCAGACAGGTGAGGGGCTGGGCGGTGGTGGTGGGAAGGGGCCTGGGGCAGAGGAATTGGGACAAGGCCTGGATGGAAGCTGGTGTGTGTGTGTGTGTGTGTGTGTGTGTGTGTGTGTGTGTGTGCCAAGACTGGGAGTCTTGGAGGGTAGAGGACTGGACAGGGCACCTGGGTGGGCAGGATGGACAACATCAGGGTGAGGAGGCACCGGAGGGGTGTGTTGGGGGTGTGGAAGGAAGCAGAGATGAGGGTCCTCCCACAAGTGAGGGTTGGGGATGGGGGCTCCAGAGGAAAGGAGTCCTGCTGGGGCCGGAAAGGCGCCTGCGGGGTGAGGCGGGCCACCGTTCCCACTCCACCTGCCCCTACCCCACTCTCTTCCTCCTGGTCCCCCGCCCCCTCCCGCCTCCAGGATGAAGCCCCAGAGGGCCCAGCGGGGAGCTGGGAGCAGGAGGATGGAGGGGCTGAGTAGGGCCTGTGGGAGAGCCTTGGGGGACGTGGGGGTGTCCGGGGCCTTTACCAAGTCTCTGGGCCCCCACTGCCACCCCCACCTGACTCTGCTTTGGGATCAGGGGCCACTTTGCCCAAGCCCTGGAGGTGGAGCAGGGGGCCACGGGGCCACTGGAGGTCAGCCCTGAGGCCCTTGCCGGGGAGGAGCAGCAGCTGCTGGACGGAATGGGGCGGGGTCAGAAACAGCCCTCTTTTTCCAGGACTCGGGCTGGGCCGGGAAGGACACAGCCTAAGGGAAGGCTGGAGGCAGGCTGCTTGGGGTCCCAACTCCACTGGGCCAAGCTGTGTATTGGCAGCAGACTGCTCGGCCTTTCTGTGTGCCCGTTTCCTCCTCTATAACATGAGAGTGCGATAGGTCCTGCCTCAGAAGGTAGTTGCAAGAATGAAATGAAATGTCCTTGTAAAGTGCCCAGAACTGTGCCTGGGCATAGCAGGTGTTTGCTAAGGAAAACCAGGCGGCCTGCCCCCAGCCCAACCTCCAGCTGTGCCTGCCCGGCCGGGCCGAGCCCACCCCCGTTGCCAGCTAACCAGGCGGCCTCCCCCCAGCCCAACCTCCAGCTGTCCCTGCCCGGCCGGGCCGAGCCCACCCCCGTTGCCAGCTGACCCAGCTGACGGTCGGGTGACTGCCCTTCACAGGAGACCTCAGGCCGGCTTCTCTGAAGGTGGAGGCAACTCCCTGGAACCACATCCTCACCTTGTACAAGCAGTTTCAGAAACTGGCCATGGCCAAGGTCTGTGGGGCCGAGCTGGGGCCGCCGGGGGAGGCGGGGTGGGGCCCAGGAGTGAGGCTCGGTCCTGCCTTCACCTCGGGGGGCCGCTCCGGCTGCTTCCTGTTTCATGTGGAGGCGGGGCTGCAGGCAGGGGCCCTTCTCACCTGCTCAGTGACCCGAAACACCCTCAGCTGCCTCTCGAGGAAGACTCACCTGACGACGAGGAGGAAGGGGAGGAAGAGGAAATGGAGGAAGAGGACAGCTCATTCAAGCTCTGCGTCCCAGTCCCCCTCCAGTCGCCACTGCATAAGACATTTAGGCCAATCGACACAGTGGGTAAGCGGGGTGCCCACCTCCCCTCCCCACACGCCCAGGCAGTCCCGTTTTCTATGGGCTCATGGGTGCGATGCCAGTTCTGACCACCAGGTGGTGCCATAGGACATAAGATGGCCACCCGGGAGGTTGGTCAGAGAGTGGCTGGGCGGGAGGCTAGCTCCTCTAGGTAGGGTCCTCCTCCCTTGGGGTGTGCAGACCGCGAGGTGAAGGTGTGACTGGGCTGGGAATCCCCGCCCGGAATTCCGTTCAGTGGCCACCTCCAGCTCTGGTTTTCCCATCAGGTGGGCACTGCTGTGACAGGGCCCCAGAGGGTGTCCCTGAGGGCAGATGAGAGAGGGGGGAGTGTGATAATACAGAGTCATTGCTAACCTTTATATAATAGGTTCTCGGCCTTTTGGCTAAGATCAAGTGTAACCTTTACATAATCATTTCTGTGGGCCATCTCCTTCTCTAAGCGCTTTTCACAAAATAATGTACTGGATTCTGGGGTAGGTCTTATACGCGCCACTTCACAGCAGAGAAGCTAGGCACAGAGAGGTTAAGTAACTCACCCAAGATCACAGAGCTAGGAAGTGGCAGGGCTGGGACTTGAGCCCAGGTCGTTGGGATGGTTCCAGATCCATGCTCTTGAGTTGGTGGCTGGAGGGGAGTAGAGACTCACACTCATGCTTGCCGGAGGGAGCCCATGGAAGCGAGTTTCTTGGGGAGGCGTCGTGTGGCTGGCTCTGGGGAGTGGGTGAAGAAAGCACCATGGCCAGCGTGACCAGGGACTGTGGGGCCAGGATGGGAGCCAGAGCCGCCTCTTCCTTCGGCCTCCGGCAGTTTGCTCCAGCCTACTCCTGCCTGTCCCTTGCCCATCTCTCTGGCTCTCAGGTTTCGTGGAGTCAGAGTTAAAGAAGTTTCTGGAAGCACAGCAGGAGTCCCGCCTCCGCCTCCGGAAGATGCGCAGCCTTGAGAGCCTGGAGCCACTGGTCCCATCAGAGATCACCCTGGAGAGCATTCTGGGTGACCAGGTATGCCACGCTGCCCGAGGACACTGGCGAAAGCGGATGGGAGGCCTCCCATGGCCCTGGCCCCGGCCCAGGCTCCAGCCCCCCTCTGCCTGGGTAGGGGGGGCATGATCCCTTCTTGGTGGTATTTCTGAGAGTCCGACCCTGACCCCTGCACACACACACTTCCCCATCAGTCTCTCTGTCTCTCATTTGACCCAGAGTTCAAATCTCCACTCTTTTTTATTACTATTATATTTTTATTGATTTCAGAGAGAGGGAAAGAAACATCCATGATGAGAGAGAATCACCGATTGGCTGCCTCCTGCACACCCCCTACTGGGGAGTGGATGAAGAAAGCGCTATGGCTAGGGTGACCAGGGACTGCACAGGGCCAGCCTGCAACCCAGGCATGTGCCCTGACCGGAATCGAACCCGGGACCCTTCAGTTCACAGGCCGACGCTCTGTCCACTGAGCCAAACCGGCCAGGACCAATGTCCACTCTTGAGGCTTAAGTTTGCCACCCACTTGCTTGTGGCCTTGGGCAGGTCCTTTCCCTCTCTGAGCCTCAGTTTCCTTATCTGAACACGAGGGGCTTGTCTAGTGGCTCTAAGGCTTCTAGTACATCTGCAACTCACATGCTGTTGCTCATTTTCTATTTCTCTCCCCTTCACACCCATGCCTGACCCCACAAACACACACAGGTGCCGGATAGTGACTCTGCTGGTCACACCACAGACCACCACTGCCCACCCTTGACAGCAGCCTAAGCATTCGGCCTGTCCCAGCTCCTCGGGGGCGCATTGATGGCTCTGTTGTGGAAAGATGAGTTGGGGTCATTTCTGCTTAATTTCTATTCATTCATCAGCTCATCCTTCCACTCAGTGGACACATGCCCCTGCCTGTGTGGTTTACCAAAGGAAAGAGCAGAGGGTTGGGCCCTGGCCGGGCAGCTCAGCTGCTTAGCGCATCCTCCTGATAAAACAAGGTTTCGAGTTCAATCCCCGGTCAGGGCACCTACAAGAATCAACCAACAGATGCATCAATGAGTGGAAAAACAAACTGACCCCTCCCTCTCCTTTCCTCTCTAAAAATCAATTGAAAAAAAGGAAGGAAGGAAGGAAGGAAGGAAGGAAGGAAGGAAGGAAGGAAGGAAGGAAGGAAGGACGAGCAGCGGGTTGGGAGGCGGGTCTTCAGGCCTCTGCCCGTGAAAGGGCTGTTGGCGATGAAGAGTGTACGGCCGGGCGTCACCTGCACCGGGCACTCAGGGTTAGGGCTCTGGCTACAGGAGCACAGGCCCGCCAGGCGCCCAGGGCAGCCTTCTCATTGTCCGGAGGCCCCCTCTGAGCTCTGGGGACAGGGCTGAGCCACCACTCCCAACCCACCCTAGGCTGCAGGTCAGCTTGGCAGGGGTGGCGCCTCACAGGCACCCCTCTGAGCTCTGGGGACAGGGTTGAGCCACCACATCCCAACCCACCCTAGGCTGCAGGTCAGCTTGGCAGGGCCCCTCGCCTTTGCCTTTTCCCTCTTCTTCCTCCTCCTCCTCCCCCCAGCACCACCCCCTGAGCCTGCCTGCCCCTGCCCAGGGCTCACAGTCCTAGGGTGGCCTGAGCAGCATTGGAGGGGCCTGGGAGTATCTGGGGGGTGTGGCAAGTGGGGGCCCAGATCAGCCCTCACTCTGGGGACACAGCTGCCTCGGGAATATATTCCTCTCGTGGGTGTTTAGAGGTCTGTCCCCATCACCACCCCACGCCCTTCTCATCCCTCAGGGACACCAAGCCGGGGGGGGGGGGCCCCCAACCTTTGGGGAGTGCTGGGGCCCTGGGAGAGGGGCGCTGAGGCGGCTGAGGCCCCACCCTAGGTTGCAGGGAAGGGTGCAGAGCCCCCTTGGTGTGGTGTCCACCGCAGAGGTGAGGACGGGAGGGCCGGCTAGGTGCTGGACTCCTGGGGTTTTGAAGGAACCCCCCCCCCCGAGTTGGAGGGAGAGGGGAGCCCAGATGCTGAGGCCTCTTCCTCCCGCCCGCTCTGCCCCCAGGGCCTGCTGCTCCAGGAGATGGATGCCCTGGGAAACTGGCCTCCACACTGGCCTCCGAGGGAGTGAGGGGTGCTGGCGAGTCTGCCCCGCCGGCCCGGACGGACCTGCACAGGGAGGCAGCCCCTCTCCTTAGGAAACAGCCCAGGAGCTCCGGGCCGGGTCCCGGGATAAACGGTGGCCATGCGTCTGCAGGGCGGCTGCCAGCAGACTGTCCCACAGTCGGACGTGGGCTGTGAGGTTATGAATAAAGCCCAGTTTGACTCCGGCCCGCTTGGTTGACTGTGGACCCTGCCGCTCATCGGCACCCGGAACCAGCTCAGCAGTCAGAGGGGGGCGGGGGGGGGTCAGTCTAGTCCCCAGTCTGTGCCTGCAGCGCCCTGGGCTCCGGGGGCAGGTGCAGCGCGTGTCTGGGCATCTGGGCAGGAGGTCTGTGCACTTGGCAGGGGTGGGAAGGACCCTGGCCCGGGCCTGCCCGGTCTGCAGGTCCCTGACTTCCCTCCCGCCCCAGTTCCCAGGCCGGGCTTGCGGCCTCACAGGGAGGATCCGGGAATTCTCCAGCAGGAAGTTCCTGCCCCGCCAGCACAGGGACAAAGCCAGGAAAGCAGGCCTGGGGCCATGGGGCCTGCCTCGGGGGCTGGGCTGGGCAGGTGAAGGTCCCTGGGGTCAATACAGAGCGCCCCTCCCGCTGCCCCTGGTGGCAGCCCACGCCAAGCTCAGCACCAGCCTCGGGGGGCCTGGGCAGGAGGTCCAGACGTCCAGGAGGCCTGGCCCTCCGCCCAGCAGTGGGGGTGGGCGGGGGCTGGAGGCTCACCTCATACGGGATCTGCTTTGGACACCAGGAGGTGCTGTTGTCTGGAGGTGCTGGTGGCTCCCGGTAGGACCAGGGTCCCTTCCCTTCCGTGGTCCAAGGCTCTGAGGCGAGAGAGAGAGAAAGAGAGAGAGAGAGAGAGAGAGAGAGAGAGAGAGATTGGAAGAGAGAGAGAGATTGGGAGAGAGAGAGAGAGAGAGCACTCACATTGCCCCCAGCTCTTCTCATGACTGGTCTGGCCTGCTCTGCTCCATGGGCACCCCCACCCCCACCCCACGTCTAGCCTGACCCTATTGCAGAGCTGAAGTTCAATATCAGAACATGGAGGCCTCTCTCAGTCACGTGACTGGTAACAGCTGCTTGTTGGGTGGTGGCACCTGCTTGGGATGGTGTAGGGAGACTTCAGTGACCGGCCTGTCCCTGAGCAGCCCAGCCGGTGAGGGGGGTCCCCCCTCCTAGCCCCAGACCATGAGAGCGCAGGTGGCCCACGGGGCTGGGGCTTTCTCCCCGGCCTCCTGGCCAGGCCCTGCCTGCCTGACTCAGCCACCCGCGGGGCTGGAGGCCGGGCGTCTGGGCTGCCCCCTGAGTCAGCGGGAAGCAGCCTGTGGCCGTACGACTCACCTGTGCTCTAATGCTTTCCCCAGAGAGCTGGCTGTTGGGAAGGCTGGTTGCGCTAGACCCCTGCTCTCCCCTGCAGGGACCCCAGAGGACACCTCTCCTTCCCCTTCCTGATCGCCCCCACCTGGGGCCAGCTGTGCAGGGGGTGGGGAGCCCTGGGGCCCAGAGCACAGCAGGACGGAGCTTCGTCCCCTTTCCGGTTGCCCTGGGAGGGGCCCGCCTGGGCTCCTGGGTCCAGGCCGGCACCATAGTGGGTCAGGGCAGGCCAGGCCCCTCGGCTCAGGCTAGGAGGGGTGAGGGGCAGGGCCCTCGGCTCAAAGAGGGGGACTCTGCTCCTTCCTGTCAAGTGCAGGCCATGCCACCTCTGCCTCCACCCCATCCACTTCCCATGACCCACGGAGAGGAAGGTGGGGTGGAGGGGGCAGGATGGGGGCATCTGCCGAGGCAGGAGCAGGAAGCTGGCACCGGCATAAGGCCTGGCCGGCCTCTAGGGGTCCTGGGCCTGGCTCTGGATGGGTGGCGAGGCCGTGGGGACAGGACCTGGGGATGTGCTGTGCGAAGGCCTGGTGGGCACGGTGGGCGAGCACACAGGGCTGGGCTCAGGCTCACACCGCGCGGAGGGCCCTGCATTTCTGAAAGGCTTCGAGGGAACCGCAGACGCGTCTGTGGGTCAGACCTGGGGGCTGGGTGGCATCTACAGTTGCTGTCCGTGCCAGGTGGGCGCTGCCGTGCTCAGGGTGAGAGGGCTCTGAGACCCAGTGAGGGTGTCTCTTTCTAACTGGCTCAAATTGGGGGGCAGGGAGGGGGCGGGCGGCAAACCAGCTGTACTATTTTCCAGGTGGGAAATGAGATGGGGAGCAGACAGGCAGAGGGGAGGGGCTGGGCTGGCTGCAGGCAGGCCCCACACCTCTGAACCTCAGTTCCTGCCTCTGTGAAATGGGAGAGTCCGGGCTCCTGTGGCTGAAGGAAGTGCTGTGTGGCATGGAGCAGCATTTACCAAGCATCTGCTATCCCCGTTCCCATCCCAGGCGCTGAGGAATAGAGCAGCGGACAAAACAAAAGAGCCCTCACTTTTCTGAGCATTTACTATCTCCAGGGGGGTAAATAATAAGCGTAAGCTGTCGGAGTGACAGGTGCTGTTTCAGGAGTGACGGGGTGTGCAAGCAGGAGCGCCAGGGAGGGCGGGAGCGAGGGGTGGGGCACGGCCCAACAGCAGGAGCTCAGCATGTGCACATGCGCTGCGGCCGGAGCACCTGGTGGGCTGAGGACCAGGAGGACCGGTGTGGCTGGAAGGGGGTGAGTGGGAGGGGAGGCCAGGAAGGAAGCAGGAAATGGAAATTTGCGGAGCTGAAATTTCAGGGGTTGTTTTATCAGTGACAAGTGACAACATGTGGTTTACCTCCTAAAAGTCTCCCTTGGGCCCTGGCCGGGAGCTCAGTTGGTCAGAGTGTCGTCCTGATAGGCCAAGGTTGCGGGTTCCATCCCATCAGGGCACATGCACGAAGCAACCAGTGGAGGCATCAATAAGTGGAACAGCAAACTGATGCCTCTCTCTCTCTCTCTCTCTCTCTCTCTCTCTCTCAAATCAATTTTAAAAACTCTCACCTGAGTGGGGAAGAGGCTGCGGGGGGCGGGAGGGGGGAGTGGAGCAGGGAGGCCCCTTGGGAGGCTCGGGGCTGCGAGGGGCGGGGGTCGCACCACTGTCTTCAGCACCGGGAGCACCTTTGCACCTTGTGCAGTGGAACACCCACCCCTGCCCCAGAGGCTGGAGAGGAAGAGGGGCGACCGTGGGTGTGGGGCCCCAGAAGGTCCCACTGAAGGCAAGTGGGCAGCTGATCATGTGCGGGCAACTTCGGCGTGTGTGCGTGTGTGCGCGTGTGTGTGCGTGTGTGCGCGTGCGTGTGTGTGCGTGTGCGTGTGTGCGTGTGCGTGTGTGCGTGTGTGCGCGTGTGTGCGCGTGTGTGTGCGTGTGTGCGTGTGTGCACGTGTGTGCGCGCGCGTGTGTGTGTGTGTGGACTTCAGCGTGTGTGCGTGTGTGTGTGTGTGGACTTCAGCGTGTGTGCGTGTGTGTGCGTGTGCGTGTGTGCGCGTGTGTGCGCGTGTGTGCGCGTGTGTGTGTGCGTGTGTGTGCGCGTGTGCGCGCGTGTGTGTGGACTTCAGCGTGTGTGCGTGTGTGTGTGTGTGTGTGTGTGTGAGAGAGAGTTGGGGGGGCGGCAGCAGGGGTGGTTGGCACCAGCAGGGTGTGTGCTCGCTGATGTGCAGCAAATGCTCCTGGGAGGATGGGCTGGGCCACCGTGGAGCCACTGAACCCTGGTGCTTCCTCTCCCTGCGGCCCTGACCCCGAGGGCCCAGGCGGGAGCTGGGGCTCGTCTGCTGATTTCACCTGCCCACAGACCAAGGCTCCGTCACCTCTCTCGTGGGGGCGGGGGGGGGGCGTTAAAACAGACCCAACAACAAAATCAGATGCTGCTGCTGTAACAGGTTTGGAGACTGCAGACGAGGAGCAGGGAGGAGCCCTGGGGCCTCCAGGAGGAGGCTGTGGTTTGGGCCTGCGGGCGGGAGGGGGAGAGAGGGAATTTGACAGGTGAAGGGAAGGGACAGGCCATGCCTGCCAGGGCACAGCCTGCACCGTGACCCCACTGTCCACCTCTCTCCCCAGGCCAGGACCACCTGGCCCCCCCAAACCACCCCCCCCCCCTCGCCTGCTTGTTCAGGCCACCGCCTCACGTTTAACCCTTTGCTCCCTGCCATCCCCCCTTCACACTTGCGTTCTCAGTGCCTTTGCTGGGGCCCAAACCCAGCCACAGCTTCCCGATCCTCTCAGGCCTCTGCCCATCACTGCCAGTCTCCCCCGCTGCCCTCGACCGCCCCCACCCACTCTGTAGAGCTCAGCTCCCCAGCGCTTCCTGGAGTCCTCACCGCTCCCAGGCTAGGGGACCAATGGGACCCGCTTTCCCCTGCCCTGGACAGACAGACACACCATGAAGGCCGGCCCCGGGGGCGTGTCTCCCTGTCTGAAATGGCCAGCGTGGTGGCTCAACATGGAATGAGCAAGGGAGGGCAGGCAGGAGGGGGCACGATGCAGAGCTGGGGAGGCAGTCAGGGCTCGGCATTGATCCTCAGGCCAGTGGGAGCCACAGAGGGCTGTAAGCTGGGAGGGTGGCGTGGCAGGGTGTACCGTGGGGGGTGGAGTAGGGGCTTCAGGAGGCCGTCACAGCGTCGCAGTGAGCGGGGTGAGCCTGAGCCCGGCAGGTGGCAGGTGGGGTAGAGGAGGGCACTCGGGCAGTGGATCTCAGCCGGGCAGTTCTGTCTGCCAGGCAACATCTGGAGGCATTTTTGGTTTGTCAC